GAAATGACGAAAGCGTTATCCGAACATTATACATTTTTTAATTTTTTTTTAATATTATAATTTCACGTTGCTAATACAATTATTAGAAGATATTAAATGTTATTATTGAAAAGGTTATTACGAGGACCATCCCCAATAAATGAAAATGGATTAAAATGAATTCAAATTTTATTTATCTGAATGCGTATTTTAAATAAACTTTTTTGGTTGCAATTGAATTAAATTGGATTCAACTGAATTCAATGATTGAAAAACTGCATTTTATATTTCGAATTTTGTTAATTTGGATTTACACGCTTTAGATTTTTGTGATTTTCATAATCATAATCAATTATAAGTATCTCTTACAGTTCTGGCGATAAATCTGTGTGAATTCAGAAGTTACTCAAATGTAATAGTAGATAATGCTGCCTATAGTACGCAACTAGTGTATAGTTCTGTGGTATCTTTTTCACTTCATAGCATTTCTTTTACTTCACGATTTCATTTTAGCATTAAGGGGGAGCCTGATGTAATGGGTTAAAAAAATCGATTTTTTTGCATAAATTATTAGTACTACGTTTAAAAATATGTTCGTAAAGTTTCAGATCAAAATTCGAAGTTTTAACATACTACAGATTATCTTATATCCATAAACTTATAAGATAGATGGAGCGTTCATACGAGAGAAGCTGAAGACAACATTGAAGGATCAGTTTTACTCCCGACATAGTTGTTTCTCTCTTTCACAGTGAGCGGTGAGGGGCCAATCAGTTGAACGTAAGGCCACAACTCGCGGCCACTGACTCTCGGATGTCTATTTTTGTTGCTTTCGACCACTCCCCGGCCTGCCGCGACGACCAATCAATTCACTATTAGAAAAGAAGAGGACTACTTTGCGACTATTTTTCTCTCTTTCTATCAAGTTTTCAGCTTCTCTCGTACAAATGCTCCGTCTATACTTATACCTATGGTTGAATTCAACCATGCCATGCTTAGGGCTTTGGCAGAGAACGAGACGTAGTTGTGATGTGGGATAAGACAGAGAAAAACGTAAAAATCGCAGTCGTGACTTTGGTCTCCGAAGCACTTTGCCGACCAATCATTATTGTGATTTTTCCTTTTTCCTCATTCTTACCCCATGTCATAACTATGTCTTGTTATGTCTCGTTATATCTCGTTCTCTGCCATAGTCTTTATACCTGCGCATCACGCAGACGCTATAGGGCTATGGCAGAGAACAAGATGTAACGACACGTAACGAGACGTAGTCGTGACGTATGGGTAAGACAGAGAAAAACGTAGAAATACAACAGGAGCTAGATTGTACGCTAATGACACTGAGGACTTGGACAACGGCTTGCATATTTTCAAATACATGGATTATTTTGCAATCAAAAAATATTTTTTTATATCTTGAAATATACGTAAAAGCATACTAAAAGTTTCAGAGTTTCATTGAATCGGTTCTTTAAAAAAAATTCCCAGAAATCACTTTTTTTCAGCATGTTACATCAGGCTCTTCCCTTAAGAATTATAAAAGCTGTAAATTTAATGGATTTCTCCAAATTATGTTAATAAAAATTACCTGGCATCAGTCAAGACAATTAAGTGTTCGCAACAACCTTGATGCTGATATACCCATGGGAAACCAAACTTTGTATAAAGAGAATTTATCAGAGCATCCATAGTGGCAACTTTAAATGGACCTATATCACGAACTGCTGCCCATTCTAATATAATATTACTATAATCAATGTTAGTTGGTACACAGGTATCATTATAAAATGTATCTTCAATATAAAAGAATCCAGATTGGTAGACATCCTATAATAATAAATGCAATTGACTTTTGTATACTGGATGTTCCATTTTAATAGAAATAGTGAAATATCTCAGAAACAAAGCATTTTTACGAAAATAAGTTAATATTTTTTTAAATATGAGTCGATAAAATTCAGGTACCACTAGCATTATCCAAGGTATTCAACTGACGATTCAAATCACTTTGAGTGTTATTCAGGGTCATGAGCTTAATAATATTTGTCAAGATCAAAATTATTGGAGGTTATTCTTATTTTTATTTTTAATAGCGAACTATGACTTTTATATGAAACATTTTTCTCAAAAACACTTTCTTTGCAAAATATTTCACTGTTTCTATTAAAATAAGACATCTAACTACAAACACATGGTTTGTTATAAAATAGATATAATTTAAAATTGAAAAAATGATTACTTTTGCCATCGATTCAGGCCTTTGATTTGGATTTTCACTAATCTCTTTTGTAATTGACAAGTCAGATTGACACATTATCTTTTGACGTAATTCATAAAGAGTTTGACTTCCCAATATTGATATGACACTCTTAAGTTTAAGAACAGGTATACTTGTTCTATATTTAAGAGAACGAGGCTGGCTCTTAAATGGCTCGTATACCCTGATATAAACTAGAAATTCTTCATATGGCTTTAAAGAATTATTATTAACAGATCTTGACTTGTCATATTTCTAAAAAGAAACAAGTAATTATACAATGCTATAGATTTGTCATATTGATCATGCATATTAATCAAGGAAACCAATGTAGTGATTACAAAATTATCGATCATATAATTACAATTCAAGTAAATTTTAATAAATCTTTTTATTATTCTACATGTCTTAATAGCTATTCGAAGTAATTACTTACAATAGGAATGCCATTTTGATTTCTAGGTTTTACTGAAGCTTCTTTAGACAAGACCTCTAATACTTTAATTGTTTCCAATGAAACATTATCTAAAATTTTCTCAGGTACGTTAACATATCCTTGTTTTTCCCGTTCTTCGGTAATGGCAGCTTCCACTGGTAATGTTAAATTATCGATACTATAAAATTGATTTCGATAAAATATATATGAGCATTCATTTTTATTAACAAATATGTCATATTTATTATATATCGTCAAACAAAATACCTGCAATAATGTTTCATTAAAAGTATTCTCGCTTGTGAGAGATCGGTACCCATAAGTTGTAAAATCTTTTCTTCATTTTGTTTGTCAATTTCATAACACATAGATGACTTGATTAATTCGCTATATTGATGAAAATAATCTTTTATACAAATCTTTGATGATGCTTGACGATCGTAAAGCTTATATACCTGATCCATTGTTTCGAATAAATTAACTATAATGTCTGTGTTACAAAATTCGTTGCCAGTGCTAAAAACCATAGACTTCTATATATTATATTAGATAGAGTATCAGGGCAGTGTTCCAATCGGTGCTCCCTTTCTTGCGCATGCGCATTGATGCGGCAAAAAGACGGTGGCGTTATGGCTCCTGCACACAGAACGCGGCAACGCTTATGACTCCTGCACACTGGACGCGGAAATGCTTACCGCGCGACAAAATGGCTGCGTTCACCAGACTCAACAGTTTTGCAACCGTTTTATGATTGTCTGCTGAGATAGGACCATTCTTCTAGATCTAAAAGTATGATCCAATCAGCGCGAAGGAAACTTCCAACAGTTGCAAAACAACCGTTCTGCTGAACGCAGCCAATGCGACGCGGTAACCAATGAACATGTTACGCTGGTTCTACATTAGTCGCATCGCAGCGTCGCAAGCGTTGCGGTCCAATCAACATCAAGCTAGCTCGACTCTGATTGGATCATAACGCTTGCGACATTGCGATGCGACTAATGTAGAACCAGCTTTAGGAGCTGTAAGCTTGGCTACTGCGTCACATTTTGCGCGCGGCAAGCGTTTCCGCGTCCAGTGTGCAGGAACCATTAGGCCGGAATCGGACTACGCATTGAAGATTGAGATTGAAGATTGAAGATTAAAATTTGACCAATAAGGATAAAGGAATTTTAGTTCCTATTGTTTTGATTGGTCAAATTTCAATCTTTCAATCTTCAATCTCAATATTCAATGCGTAGTCTGATTCCGATCTTTACCGCGCGGCGGAAGTTGTCACACTAATAATTCTATGTACGAAATCCATAGACGTTGCTCAAGACTCGAGATGGTCTTAAACTAGTGCTTGAACCAATCAAAGCACTAGCTTAAGACCATTTCAAGTCTTGAGCAACGTCTATGGATTCCGTACTAAGCCGAACTAGAGTCTTAAGCTGGTTCTACATTAGTCGCATC